AATCTACTAATATTGATCATGAAGCAAATATGGCATAATCTTCTAGAAACTTAATCTTTTAGAAAATAAAAACTATGGTTGTTCAAAGATTTCTAAACTACTTCAAAACATTTTTTCTCTTCTTAACATTTTTTCTCTTCTTTCTTGCGAAACGAAGAGTTATATTTAAAGAGCTGCGGTTCTTTTCTTTCTAGCGTTTTCTTCTTCTGACAATCTCTAACGAACCCCATCAGTAATAAAAAGATTGGATTGAATGAGGCTGAACTTTCTGGCCTGTTCATTATCCTCTCCTCTAACGAGGGAATACTTTAATCAAGTGATTATTGACTGGGGAATCTCCTTCATTCACAATTTGATTACGTAATTGTTCTCCTTTTTCGTTCACCTCCCCCTCCTCATCGCTGATGACGTCAATTCTTTTTTCTTTTTTACTCAAACCTTTCCATACGAAAAAGCCGATTATAAAGTCAATGTCATGAGCTTTTCAAAATTGGAGCGTTGGGAGGATGGATAATCTTTACAAACAATAAAATCGATAAAATCGATATCTTAGAGTACTGTAGATTCTCAAAATTTATGTCTTTGCAAGTATTTCGAAATGACAGATTTACATTGGTTGTTGCGGTGAACTGTAGGCTCCTCCCACTTTATTTTCTCCCCCCAAGTTTTAACCTCTAATATATAATGTTGTACAACTCCTATTCTTCTCGACATATCTAATTTTGAAGGTTTCAACAAAACCCATTCTGCATTTTCCTTCTAAAAATAGAGTCAATCCTTTTCTTTTTTGTGAGATACCGGAAGAGCGAAATGGCTGCCAAAGGTGTGAAATTTCATACGGCATATGAAAAAAACGAGAAAATCATTTAATATAGCCACTTGAGCAAAATTGGGTTTCTGCGGGGGTTTTGAGTGGTTCACCAGAACTCTGAGATCAAAAAGAGAGGCGCGAAGATCAAACGCAATTTTCTAACGACGCCCACCCATAGACGGCTCAAATTTCGAATTCTGTCATCACCTAAATGGGGAAGCTCTGCGGCAATTGTTCATCAACAAAATTGCTGGATCTTAGACTCGAATTTCAAGAACACGATATCTTGGTTGGATCTCCGCTTGAGTCAAAATTTAATGGCCTTTCGAGGATATATTAGACTGAAAATCAAGAAAACTCAGCCGTCGAACCTCTGCCAAACTTTTTATGCAAGAACCACCACTTGCAATCGTTTCCTGGAAAAAAACTGTCCAACAGACATTCGCATGCATCTGCTTCTAATCCTATGCATGTCCTAAGTGCAAATTGAGGGCCAACATAATGTATTTGCACGAGCATCCATTGTCATAAATCCAAATTATTAATACCTTTTGGCGAATATATCTGAATTCTGCATTACTGAGTGTTCACGAATTTTACAGGTTGTTGTTTGAATTAGTCATATTGTAATTATTGTAATCAAACAATCTTGTCTACCATCAATCATTCTGTCAAGTTGTCTCATAAGTTCTGACCGTTTTAAAAAGCCCTAGATAACCTTTCGATAAAGCGAATCAAGCTTTACGAAGTGGTTTCCCAAAGTTTGCGCAAAGGTTGTCACATTTAGTCTCAAACCACTGAAAACTCTAAGAAGCCCGAAATCTCGGAAAGTCAGAACTGTGTTTGAATATTTCAAAAGTTCAAACTTATTCACTCATTTTCAAGGCGATAGTGGGGGTTCCCACATAGGTAAATCTATAACAGATGGTAAAACAGTATGTATTTATAACAACGAATTTTTGGCCTTTTGCAAACGATAGTTTTTGAGAAATGTTAAATTCAACAAAAAACCCGAAAAAACCTATATTCATTTTTTGCCTAATTTTTCACTTCCTGACCCTGGAAAAAATACATATATATGCCAGCTGAGAAGTCTATAAGTGTGAACCAGTAGAAAGCTCTGATTTTTTTCTCTACTTATTGGGCTTTGAAAATTTTTATTTTATTTTGAACGACCTGGCATCCCTGCTTCCACCTGGTTTGAAGTAAGTTTATAGTGCGTGACCGCTTCTGTAACAAAACCTACACTTCTTTTGATTCGACTCGTCTCGAGTTCCCTTCCTTTCATCCTTACCATATCTTGATGACCAGCAGATTAAAATGACCTTCACCATTCATCCTTCATGATTATGGGAAATTTGTATGCACATACAGATTTTATGCTTCATATATAGAGAGACTACATCTTGAACGGGCTTTGTGTTAGAAAACACTTTGTCGAGCTAGCTTTTAACAAAAGATACTTTAGGACTTTCTTGAGAATCAAGAAACTTGGGGATTACTGGAGCGAAAAGTGAAAAAGGACTGAAATCATGCGGCTACTCTAATAGTGTTACTTTAAGTAGAGATTTACACATTCACTTCACTTGCAAATTTGATCATTTTGATCAATCAAAAGCCCCATTTTTTGAAGTGTGTCAAATAATCATTTTTAGTAAATGTTGCTCATCCCTTCGGAATACACTGAATCATTATTTTCATCAAAAGTTCTAAGAAGCATTTATTAAGCTAAGCTAGAGGCGATTAAGAGGGGAACCTCAAAAGGATTTGTTTGTTGATGTAGAGTGAAATTGTGCCAGTCTGTTCCGCTTCGTAAACTTCAGGAAGAATAAGTTTTTTCTCAGCTCACAAAATTGTTAATTCAACGTCAAGCAAGTCCTTCAGCTGTTATTTACTTATTAGTTCTGGAAAGCGGAAATATTGCGAATAACTATACTCACTTTTGAGCGCACAATCTGCCTGTCGTCTCATGGAGTCCCGGATGGAATAGTTGTTTCCAGAGTATAGCTTTTGTTTACGTTGGGGGCATCGTCTCTTCCTCGGGGTTAATCAAATCAGTTTTGCGGGTTGCTCCACCCTTTTCAGCTTTCTGGATTTTTTGTTGTACTTTTCGCGATTTGAATCCAGAGAATATTATCACATGACTTCCCAAATTTTGCAACTATTCAACTGCAATAATGCAAGAAAAACGTGCTGGCATCATATTACAGGGGGTGGCTGAGTTTCTATATAAGTTGGACGGTGGCTTGAATTAACTTCAGAGGATGGGAGTGAGCTATCAGAGCAACAGTTCGCGTCTGATAAAGCTATATGTTCTCGTCTCCACTCGCTCTTTACTGTTCCCTTCAGTCTCTTCTGAGCTCAAATCATGATCTCTCATCTGACACCGGCTCGAATGTGAAAATCACTACCGGAACAGACAGCAATCTATTTTGCTCCTTGCTATCTGCTCCTTCCAAATCAGGGCACAAACAGACACAGTGATCATTCATGTGGGCGATTTACGTCATCCATTTCTTCCAAATAGTGCTTGTTCCTTTAATACGCTAGGTTATCTTGGAATCTTGTGAGCAGCGTGAATGAAGGCGTGCAAGCATCAGCACCATAAAATATTTTGCCTTGAAATTGCAAATATCAATTCTCGAAAGCCTTAAATAGATTAGCGATTATGCTTTTCAGAGGTACTGTAGTCTTACCGTATACTTCTGCTGGGTTGATTATTCATATTATATTACCTATTGCTATGCATAATCGTATTATAAGGTTGATGTATAATCTTGCAGAAATTTATTTGAAATTCTGTTACTTTTGTCATCATCAATGAAACTTTCTGATTTGCTAGGTATAGAAAATTAGATGTTGCGCTTTCAAAATGGTTTGAGCTGTAATTCCTTGAGGGCATATGACAGCGATTTGAGCTAATCAAGAGAAATACTCAAAAAATGCTTCTTCATTTTGGTTGCTACTGCTAAAACGTCTACTAGAATTCAAACTTACTTTTGGTCTTGATTTTATGATCTACTCACTTTGAATAGTAGAGCTTGGCAGTGAATGGATGTCCCTAGGAATAATTGTGAATTTCGATTTTTCAAAACCAACTTGTTGGTTTTATTTGATATTGAATTTCTAAAATATACTAAAAAATACTGTTTTTGATATACATAACAGCATTTTGTGTAATAAAAGAGAAGATCATATGTGATACTTTTTCAGTGGAGTATGACTTGATTTCTAAGTCTTCCCCGGCACCACTCATTAAGTTGATTAGCTCGTTTAGGCATTTTTAAGGTGATTTTTTTCTATTTTTTGGTGCAAGAATTGTGCATCAACCATCAACCTAATATTTCTTCAGATTCACATTTTCCAGAGTAGTCGTCAGCTCATCGTTCTTCCACATTTTGTCTTTCATTCATGGAATTGCACTATTTTTCCATAGATTTATACCTAACATTTGCCAATCATAAATAGTTTTGCGATAGATTTCGTTCAAGCTCCAAAATCTGTACATACATTTTTTGCGTAGGCATTAACTCCATCTAGTGTTTCCTACTAGATAAACTACGATTATTAATATCAGGCAATTTCCGTGTCAGGGCTATATCCAATAGATCTCAATGAATTTGCCCAATAATCACGCTTTTTTTGTCGAAGAATGAGCGATTCAGTGAAAATTAAACTCGTGGGCGAAAAAACCATTTTCCTTAGTAAATAGAGTACACAAGTGACAACTTATGAGCAAATCACAAAGCAAATTGATGTAGGACAAATTTGTGGATCATCAATATTTGTAAGCATCGAGATGTTTTTTGCCTTTGTGGACAATAATGAATTCCATATATGAATCTTCCAAAATCAAAAAGTCACAGTTGAGCGCCTTTATTTCATAATTCCGCTAGCAGCTGTTTAGAAACAAATCGTTGATTTTGATGATTTTTTAGACTATAGGACACTATCTATCAAGCATTCAAATTTCAAACGCAAAATCAAATTACGTGGGCTTCTGCTAATTTGTCAGAATAATTCCGCACTCCTGAATATTTCTAGCTCTGACACGCCAGACATCATCTATTATATTTTGGTTCCGTTTTGAGGCATTAATATCAAATGTGATGATGTTTAACAGCCTTCCATATTCGCTCAGAAATCACCATTCACTAATTGTAATTCTGTTCCATTTAAGAGGGTCCCTATGGGAGCTTTCGCTACGCTCCGATCCATGTTGTTCTGTTTACTGTGGCGACGACCATTTTTCGTGATCTCTATGTTGCTACTCGTCTCTTCCCAGCAAGCTGCTGCATATGGTGTGAAATATAATTGCCGAAAAGTTGGTGAGTACATTTAATTCGCCGAAACCTTAGTATCACCCTTGATAGATAGATAAACATCTAGATTGATAACATTTTTCGGAAGTGGATCATAGGGGAAATAAAATTTGCGAGAAACTGTGATTTGTGAATATTGAATATTTCCTATATTGAAATATAAATATTTTCCTAACTCGTAATTTTGTTTTGAAAATTTAGTTCAACTTTGAAAGGAAATCGGCATATCTTCCTCATGTTGGACTCAAAAGCTGCTAGATGAGTATGGAAAATACGAATTGGCCGACGCCCTGCCCTTATACTTAGAAATTTTTTTTCATCCCCTCATTTACCTATGAAAGGAATTGTGAAACCGCCATCGCTGTTTTGTATGTATAGCTTTTATAATCATTTGTGGGCGGAAGCAAATGGCACTCTACCGTACGTCTATCGTAGTCAAATACGGTAGCGCAAGTCAAAAGATGGTTCTCAATACTTTTGACATTCAAGTCTTCTTCTACAATGAGATGGATACAATAAGTTGATGATTTTCTCATATCGAATTGCCGCTGTATTGCCAGCGGAAGAGATGCGGTAGGTATACGATAGGTATACGGTAGGATGCCAAATAGTATGTTGATTAGGAGTATCCAAGCAGTTTCAAGATTAAACATAATAACTGATCAATCTCAATCATTTTCACCTTTTATTCCGTCCGATTTCCTAGAAACCCATAAAATGGCGCCTAATTGAGCAAGCTATAAAACGACTTCAGAGCCTCGTTATATGTAACTACAGTCAGCTAATTATAAGCTATTCAGGGGCCGAAGAGATCATCGATGAGCCGGGATGTGAGCTAATGATACTGAGGGTGAACCGATGTAGCGGTCATTGCCTGTCATTCTCATTCCCAAATCTGATCACTGGCAGGACATCGGTCCATGCTAAATGCTGTAGGATGACCGATACTGAATGGGTTGGTTCTTATACATACTCCAGATTCTGCTTTCGCTTTTCAAAAGTCATAAAATTCAACTCGATTTCAGGTCCACACTGAGTTGGCTTGCGAAGATGGTCCCCGACATATCAAAATACCAAGTGCAGTACAGTGTGACTGCTTCGACTGTGCAATTCACTAGGAACCAAAGGAACCTTGGTTGACGAGAATTGAAGTCATTGCCCATAGAGATAAATTCTAAGTGATGATCATTGTCTGAATTAGGCTGATTCTCTTTTATAGATATCGATTTGGTAATAATATTCAATAATAATGCACATTGTGATGATGATTTATGTAGAATTGATTCAATATTCACTGTAATACGGGCCAAATTATGTGAGCTTTACCCGACATTCATGTCCGATCTCAATGTTTTTTGTAGAATAAATATTGCATGAGCAGAATAAAAATTTTTGGTCAGGCTGAACCCACAGCTTGCTGGGATTTCATTAGCCTAAACCACTCCTGTGTAAATACAAGCATAGTCTTCCTTTATATTTTCTCCATTTCCCTTGAATGCCATTCTCAACCACACCACTACCCTAGAAAAAGAAACCAGCTAATTGAAAGATTTATTTAGAAGCCCACGAAATAAAAAAATTTTATAGTCTGCCTGCGATATCAGGTTGCTGTAAATCAAAATGGCCCAAAGATCATTTATCAAACAGCATAAGATTATCCTTCTGCAAGCCACGCGCATCGGCAAGCAATTAGCTGTTCAATTTAGCTCCACTACCCCCAAAACAAACAATAGTATTCGTGACACGCTGATGAGTATGTCAGCCAAAGAAATTGTTCTGAAAGGGGAAAGGGGAAGTGTCTTTCTTTTTTCTTCTTGCTTCCAGTTTTTCTGTGTCTTACAAGTTTATTTTAGTGGTATTTCGATAATCATTTGACAATCTCAAATTAGAACTGAGTTAGGATAATCAGTTTAAAAATCTTCTCGGAAATAGTCAATTCATTGTTGTTATAGGAGATTTCGAAAGTCATAGGCCCGTAGTAAACCTCCCATCAGGGCATCTCTCTCGACGCGGGCCGGCGTTGATCTCATCACGCCTCAGTCTAGCATCCGGCGAGCCATTGATCTGGATGCGGATCGCTTCCGAGGCATTACAATCGAGTGCGTTCTTGAAAAAACCACTTGATCTGGTTTGGTCAAACGGGTAAGCGGTTGGAATTACACTCGTACGGCCGTGGTTCGACTCCGACTAGCAACACACCTTTTGATGCATCGCTAGGCAATCTTTGATAACGGCCACTACGAATCGATGATGACCGCTATCAAGGATTTCGCCTAGCAAATGCACGGATAAAACAAAAACACAATTTGTGACGAAACTTTTTTTGCAAAACGGAATGGTTGCAGCGTGAATTCAATAAAATGAATAAAAGAGTTCTTGTTTTGGACAGCTAGTGAAAAAAAAACCAGTAAGGCTTATAAAAAAAGAAAAGAATTTGTTTTTTTGTTATCCTCGCCAAAATCAGCTGTTCATCGATACCCTTTTCGGGCGCGGTTGTGCAGTTTTGCGCCGATTTTGTCTGCATCTTTAGCCTAACTGATGTGTATCGTAAGTTACTCAGGAGCCACTTATGTACGGGAGTCTTGTCTGCGTCTCCTCTTTTACACACTATTTGCATCACTCTAACATCAGTTCACGTTCAGGTCACTTGAACGTGTGATGTGGAAGAGTTGACCGCAGCAGGTGGACAGATGGTCAACTATCAGTTCACTCGCCATTCTTATAGCATAGGAAGGTGGGCGGTCATCAGTTCACCTGACGTGAGGTGAACTGATGGGATAAGTTCAGTTCACCTGAACTGATCGAGCTTTACTACGGGCCATAGTTTTCTAAGATACTGAGACAGCCTTCGCTAATTTTCAGCATGTTTGGGTTGAATTTTGAAGGTAATTTGGCACAGTTCACGCATACGCATTTATTGTACATGATTTTACGCATTTGTTGAAGCCACAAATCCCTAAGGGCCGGGCATACTTCAAGATTTCAATCGCGACACGATTTGGCAATATTCCAGGTGTCTATAACTCATTGTAAGCACATTATAAATGTACAGAAGATAGGGCATTTCATCAGTTTACGTAAGTTATACGCACTATGCATGTGCAGTTTGCTAGCGTTGGATCTGAAGACTTCTGGCGAAATGCCAAATCGCGACGCGTGAAGTATGCCCGGTCCTTTGCACGTTTTTTTATTGTGCTCACCCAACTTTTCGTGCTTTGATGTATGCAATGATAACAGAGCGTTACGTAAGCAATTCTAACTCGCAACAAGGTTCAAGAAGTGAGTGATATTCATTTTTCGTATAGCGGTCACACCTGATAGTCCACTTTACTATGTCAATACTTTACGGTGGTCAGCATCCATTCGAGTCGTGTTCGAATGGAACATGATTGCAGTCCTTGTAGTGACGCTATGGGCTTTCATATCTTACGCAGCTGCCGAATTGAAGAAATGTGTTGTGGGCACCAGCCCAAGTTTGAAGTGGCAACAAGTGAAGTTTTGAAGCGAATGAGCATACTTACGTGTCGAATTCAAATATGTCTTTTAGGTAGACAAAGCTGTCTGTCGCTTCCAACTTATATACGACACTATAGAATGCAATGACAAGTACACGATTCGCTACTCTGATGCGCAGAATGTTATGCCTGGTGTTGAGACAGAAATGGTTGGTAACCCTTTCGTCATAAAAAAACCGCGCTCTCAACCAAAGCTTGACGGCATTCGGTTTAGACTCATTGGAATTTTACGGATGTTTCGAAATAATTAGCTTTTGCAATGTAGTTCAACGTAATGGAAGCACTATGCTTTGCTTCAAATCCTCAACCTCAAATTCTTTCACCTACCTGAGGTAATCCGACACGCTGATCCCGATAAACCCCTTAGGCCCCGGGCAGACTTCACGCGATTTGATCGCCGCGACTGAATCGCGACGAGACAACTGTTACAACATCATTCCATGCCGATCAACTTGCATTTCGGTTGTAATACTTTTCCAGCCCGTAATTTTTGAATGTGAAATGAAAATGAATGGAAATCTTGGCGATTAGATCGCGACGAGACAACTGTTACAACATTATTCCATGCCGATCAACTTGCATTCGGTTGTGATACTTTTCCACCCCGAAATTTTTGAATGTGAAATGAAAATGAATGGAAATCTTGGCTATTAGATGGCGACGATTAAGTCGCGTGAAGTCTGTCTAGGGCCTTAGGCGTCGGGCAGAGTTCACACGGTCTCATCGCCTTGCGATTCTCCAAACAAGACAACAATTGCGAGTTTATTGCATGCCGATCTTCTTACATCTCGGTTGTAATAGTTAGTCACAGTTAGTCGTGCCAAAAAACTATCACAACCGAAATGCCAGATGATAGGCATGCAATGAAGTCCTAATTGTTGTCTTGCTAAGAATCGCAAGGCGATGAAATCGCGTGGACTCTAGGGCTTAAAAGCCGAGCATGCTTTATGCGATTTCAGTCGCGACGCGATTTGGCAATTCGCCAGAAGTCTTTAGATACAACGTTAGCAAAGTGCATATGCATGGTGTGTATAGCCTACGTGAAATGATAAAATGCCCTATCTTGTGTACATCAAAATTTGTTTACATTGAGTTATGCACAGTTGGAACATTGCCAAATCGCGTCGCGACTGAAACCGCGTGAAGTATGTCCTGCCCTTTAGGCCTCGGGCAGAGTTCACGCGATTTGACCGTCACGATTCAATCGCTAAAAGACAAGTGTTAGGCCCCGGACAGACTTCACGCGATTTGATCGTCGCGATTCAGTCGCCGAAATTTCCATTCATTTCCATTTCACATTCAAAAATTTCGGGCTGGAAAAGTAACAACTGAAATGCAAGTTGGTTTGCATGGAATGTGTTGTAACAGTTGTCTCGTCGCGATTTAGTCGCAGCGATCAAATCGCGTGAAGTCTATCCGGGGCCTTAAGAGTTCATTGCATGCCGATCTTCTTGTATTTCGTTTGTAATAGTTAGTCACGATTGGTCGTGTTGGAAAACTACCACAACCGAAATGCAAGAAGATCGGCATGCAATGAAGTTGTACACTTGTCTTGTAGCGATTACCGCGACGATCAAATCGCGTGAACTCTCTCCGCGAGGCTTAACAAACCTCGAAAATGGCTAAATCCAGTATTTCGTAAGTCCCTTCAACTTCAATTTAGACGAATGGAACAGTAGTTTGGTTGTCCTCTTTTCTTGAAACCTCGGCATGTCGTATAATTGTTGATTATGTTATGCCAATACGAGGTTTGATGAAGCCTTTTATTAATGCGGCCTTACGTTTCGACTTATCGTCGTCTTCAGAGGCCTAGAGTGGTGCGAGATTTAGATCTTATGTTTATCCCACCAAATGCCTTATCACCCTCTGGCTAGTTGCGTTCCCCCCTCCGACTTCACAAGAAAATTCGCATAAAGAGGAAGACGAACCAACCTCAGCGCCGCTTCACCAACGGTGCACTGGTGGTATTGTGCAACCCGTTTTGACGTGTCAGTAGTGCCAATGAGCTACACTAGGCAGCTTGATATCATGCATAGTAGCACTACATTATAGCTCACATAACGCTATGAACGGCATCAAGTCATTCGTAATCGTTAGACACTCCTTTCGGTTGTTAGTGGGATTTCTCTGCGAGATCCAGAATGCTGAGAGCTTTCCGTGCAGAAGTGTCGGTCTCGTAAGCCAAAATCAAACATTTAACTTCGTAGTCTTTATCACCATGCACCTCATGTCTATGCTTCCCTAACGGTGAATTGAGACTAATACGCCTTTTGTTGGCTAAATGTTCTTTTATTCTCACACCAAGTGCCCTCCCTGTTTCTCCAATGTAGGTGGCGCCCCATTCAAAACACTCAAGCTGATATATCACTCCTACTTTTCCACAGTCGCCAACCTTACCATAAGGACAGATTATGCACTCTTTCGAGATACAAAATCTATCGTACAGCCTATTTCGTACAAGCCGCTTCTTGATGCTATCGCTTGGTATATCCACTAAAATGACATCGTCGCTCAATCGCGCTCGCCTGATGCTGTGTCTTATAGCAACACTCACTTTATCTGAAATAAAGGGCAGACAGAGAGGTATCTTGTCCTTGCATTGAACGATGTTGCGGGTTTTACACGGATTACTGTGCACATGATGCATCAGATAACCATTTGCCCGAGCGATATCCAATGCTAGACTTCGCGATTCTGCCTGTTCCTTCTCTCCTGTACAGACTTGTGTTGCAGTCTTAAACATATTATGGACCACAGCATGTTTTACTGCAGATGGATGAGCAGAGCGAGCATGAAGTATGATGTTCTTTGAGCTGTTTTTACGATACCAGTTAACAATCGCATGGCATTCGGACAGCTTAAATTGTACGTTCAAGTAAGGAAGCCAGCCGTCAGCGGGTTGTACACGTGTAAATCTTATGTATCGCGACTGTTGGTTCAACAAGCGAAAACACTCGTCCATTTCGGACTGTGTAGATGTTATTACACAACAGTCATCTATGTACCGGCAATACATAAGAGGAAGTCTTGACAACACCGGATTCTCGATTTTACTCATAAAACATATTGCGAGGGCCGGCGCAAGTCTCTGTCCCATCGCGAGACCTCTCAGCTGGGTGAGTACGATCCTGACCATCTAAAGATGTTACAGTTCAAACACTCCTTGATCAGTATCATAATATACTTCTTGCTCAGCCCGAAAGTCTGGATGTTCTTACCAAAACTATCCAATATTTCCGATAACGCTTGTAATGCGTCGTCATTTTGAACATTGGTATACAGCGACACCACATCAAATGACTCAGTCACGCATCCGCTGTTGAACTTAGCGTTATGTAGACGTTCGAGAAATTGGTTAGTATTTGATAAGTGGGACGGTATCTTGGCCAGCAGCTGACATACAATCTTGTTTAAAAACCAAGAATTCTGTCGGTTGGCCCTCCAACACAACTGATGATAGGTCTTATTTTAAACTGTCCGGGTGCCATCAAGCGCGTATCATCGGTTTCAGCAAGCTTGTGTGTCTTGATGAGGCTGTAGAATACGGGGCAACTTGGTGTGTCCAACTTTAATCTGCACAGAAAGCTCTCGCTTAAGCCAGCTGTTTTCCCAACGCTCATCCAAATGTGATTGAGTCGTTTATACTGTGACACAAACTCTTTTTCGGTAACGCGGCGGTAAACCGTTGCGTCATTTAGGTGGACCTGTGTAATTTCGCGATCTAGATCTTGAGGTAGAATCACAAACTCCCCTCCTTTGTCACTCACAGAAATGCGCACAGTATCGCTCTTAATCAAATCACGTAACTCTTTGTAACCAAGCCATTGCGAATGCGTCAAGTTCTCAGATAACCGCCGGGGGCAGGCGGCCATGCGAATTTTGAGCAAGCGCGCACCGGAAAAATAATTCGTTGATTTTTTGCGGCCCGCTTGCAGAAATTTGGAAGAAAGTTGGCAAAATTGAAGACGAATGCTTGAAGAACAATCGCGGTTTCTTTATGGATTAGCTGCGGCGCAGTGGCCGCATTCTTGCGGACTTTCCGCGAGAATATGCAAAAATTTCGAGGGCGCACGTTCCTTTGTGGAGGACCGCGCAACCCCCAGGTACTTTCCGCTGAGAGAAAGTACCTCAAACTTGAGTAATTAAACCAACGGTGACACCTCTGCCACACAGAGTCTTACCTGCGCTCGACGTACGCCCGAAAATACCTAAAAAGAGTCCGAGCGCTTGCTGAAAGTTTGGCCAGCGCTCGCTGGAAGATATTATTTGACGAGCGCTCGCAGAAAATTCTGTATTGCTGCCCGCTGGCAGAACACGGAGGTACCGCCCGCTGAAGGTTTGGCCACGCCCCAAAATTCTGCTGACCGCCTGTAGAAAAGCGCGAGTTTGCGGACCGCCTGCCCCCGGCGATTATCTGAGTTCATGTGGTGCGGCTGTTTGGAATTGTATGCAGCCAAAACACCAGATGACAAGATTTTGAACTTGGCGTCTGCCTCAGGTATTGAAGGAGGCTCTCTGTAAAACAGGCTTGGAAACGGTACTGGTGGTAGCAGCTGCTTACTTAGTTGACTTTGCCCATTCTGTCGATCTCGGGTATTATTAAACTTGTCCCTTATTCTCAATTGATCTCGGAGTCTCTGAAGTCCAGCAACGACTTTGCGGAAAACCGACCCATTGACATTCTGAGCAATAGAGAATGAGGGGCCTAAGCTGAGAAACTCACATGCGTTTTTCGAAATTTTTGCATTACCGATTACTGTGACTCTTGCCGTTTTATCAGGGTATTCATTATGAGCTATGTCAGCGTCGAAGCGGTGATGCTTAGGTGAGCTGCTTCTTGCATTTAATTGAATTTTACAAGTGGCATCAAAGAGTTTGTACTTTGCGCAGAGCGAAGACTTGACGTTAGATCGAACAGAATCACAGATCGATCTCGAGCCTTGCTCAATCCTCCTCCAAGTCGGATAAGGCAGAAGACGTCGACACGCCTGGAACAGTTCCCGCCAAGGCTGGAGATGCAAAGTCGTTGTGAGACCCTTATGAGTATGACATTGTGGCGCACCGCCTCTGACGGTGAGAGGGAAATCGCGAGCTTGTCCGAACGCGTGTAAATGGCCAGGCCTCCACGCGATTTCAGTCGCGACGGGAT